TCAGGAGCATATCTGTCTTTGCTGCCTAGCCACCCCCACCATACATGTCTGCCTGGCCAGTGCTGTCCATCCTCTCTGCCAATCCACTTGCCTTCTTTTTGTGAGGCTTTTGTGACTACTTCAACCTATAGTCAACACCTCCAGCCATGAGGTTAGAGCACACTTTTTTAAAGCAGGAATTTATTTCACAGTCACTATTATATAACTTTGGCTTTTGTTGATTAATGGTTACCCCATCTTTTCTCCCTGATTAATTTGTAAAGCTCTTTGAGGGCAGGGAGTTTTGAATATTAAGAATATGATGTAAGAATATAATGAGAACACACCAATGTCCCCAGTAGAGGGTTATGAAAAGAGTTGGCAATCAATAGACACTTGTTTAATGAATGCTGCTCTAGACTGAAAGCTACTCAGTTGTGTTTGGAACTTGTGGTATTTCATAACAGCAATTTACGTATGTGAGGCAGTTTCCCTGAGTTTAATAAATTTGCTTTCATTTTTAAGTTCTTAGTGAAATTCTTGACTATGAAATACAAGCTGAGCACACAGGACTTATAATGAGAAACATCTAACTTTAGGGTCAACATGGGCAGTATTAGAATAAACACAAACTAGTACATAGTCATTGAACTAATATGAATTTTCTGAAATTCCTTACTACTCAGTAATTTTTAAATAAAACTGAAACAATTCCAAGAATAATTTAAAAGAAAAGAGATAAACATGTAGTTGTTCAGAGTCTTTCTTTTACAAATCAGACATATATTTTAGCTTATGATATTCATTAATAGAAAGAACATAAATTTTAGAACTTGGCAAGACCTGAATTGGCAACTTGGTTCTGCTGCTTAGCAGGTGAGCCATCTTGCATCAGTTACTCAATATTGTTGAACCTTAAATTTCTTATAAGGCAAATGGAAATATTAATTTCTAATTTATTTGAAAAACCTGAGAGGAAGGAACCCAATTGAACCATTTATTAGGATAATTGATTTAAGTTTCCTAGGGCACCTAACCCAGTACCTGGCACATTAATAAATGGTAGTTATTCTTACTGTTTTTGTCTGAGAGTTTTTCTTTTACACTCATTACCTCCTGGCCTTCCTCATAGTTAAAGAGTATGGACAGAGGAGCCTAAAAGATCTGGGTTTAAATTGTGGCTGTATCATTTTTTAGTTTACCTATTTATTAATCTATCTGAGTCCCAATTCCCTCAGCTGTATAAGATGATGAAAAAAATCTCCTTGCAGGAATGTTCTGACAACTAAGAATGATCTATTTTAAAGTGTCTAGCATAGAGCAGGCACTCTATGAATAGCAGATTTTATTATAATTCTTATGAGGCTTCTCTCAGACATCTTGCTATGTGTTGAAAAACACATGCTCATGAATACTTTTTAAGTAAAAGGGGTAGGAATTTTTTCCATGTTATGTTTCACTATCTGGCATAATTATGTTCAATTGGTATTATAAAAATTATCCTTATAAATAATATCTGTATTGTGAATTATAGTTTACAAAATATCTTTATAACTGAGGACTATACCCCAAATTAGCCATTTGTTTCAATATTACTGCAATCATTATCCTTACAATCCATTCTACCATCAAGATACTTAATAATTAACAATAATGATAAACTGCAAATACTAAGGAGGCTATTACAAAAAGTCAAATGTGTTACTGTCATGGACATATATTTTTAGAAATACTTGACAGTTGAAATTGGCCAGATGAAATTGAGCAATTGATCATAGATTGTCCATCTCAGCAGTAGATCTTGGAAGCAGAGGCCTCCCCTGGATAGGCTTTGACAAAAGATATATACAAGTGGTTTCTTAACTTAGTTTTGACTACTAAAACACTGTTTAAAGTATCAGCTAAACTGTCTGTTCCCATTCAGTTTAAAATACGGTATTTTTAAAGTTTAGTAAGTTGTGTATGAAATAAATTTACCTAAGTATAAACAAAAGAATAGAAAGAATTATGGGTAACTTTCTTAAATCTAAATAAATGCACTATGTCCTATGCTGAGATTAATGACTTATTATCTAAACTCAGTAGGAATGTAATTAAGTGCTAAGAAACAGAAAGCACCTCACAGTTTTATAAGACTGAGCTGTTTTTACTATCGTAATAACTGAGGCATGTGCTTAATAACTCATCAAATACATTTACTTCCCTTCAACATCTACAAGGTCAAAACCAGTCATCAGCCACAAAGTGAAGTGTCATTAATTCCTCTGAAAAACTGTTAAAGAGATTGTTTCAAGAAGCAGCAGGCTGGATCCCCGTGAGGGTGTTTCAGGGACTCTGGGAGGTGCACACATATTTTTAAAGCCACGCATGTTATGGATAGTATTACTCTTAATGTTCCGAGTGAATAGCTTTCCATACAACCATTCCTCGTACAAGGCATATGGCTCAATATGCAACAGTCCTGATGTCTGGTGTTTTATCCTATGTCCAGTCCTTGGCTTAGTAATTATGGCCGTTATGCCTACATTTTATATAATGTTTTAAAGTGATATGTTTCAATGTTTATATTTACCAGACTCATAACTATAATTTATGTTTATAGCATCTCTGATCATTTCAAAGCCATTTTGCAAATACAATTTTTGGTCTTCCTAGTAATGTCATGTGAGATGAGGAGATTGAGGCACAAGGAGGTTATACCATATGTCTGAGGTCATTTGAAGTTAGTGTCATAACAGTGTACTTACCTCAGGATCCTGAACCCAGGGCTCACTTCCCTCCCATTACTATTATGTCATTTGTTTGGTCTTTGGATTAAACTTGCACTAGAAATTCTTTCTCACTAGCTGTGTGATTTTTAAATATGTTAAACTCTCTGAATTTTAGCTTCCTTATTGGTAAATGAGGATGAAAATGCCTAACTTAGAGTTATTTTGAGGATTAAATGACATGATGTGTGTAAAGTAAAAATCCTAGAATAAGATGAAGTGTTCAAAACTGTTAGTCTTTCAAATCCCCACTCCTGGCGATGCTTCACCTAAAGGCAGTTCCCTTAGGTCTTCTGAGAGTCTCTGAAGTTACTCTGGAATTCAATGGTAGGCCAGAGAGGCACAGTATACTTAATGTATTAGTATGGTGGCAAAATTTAATTTAACCAAGAATTTATCAATCATCTACCACATCCCAGCACAGTGCTAAGTGCTGCAGACGCACAAATGAAGTAGTAGCAGCCCAAGAATTTTGCAAGTGACAAGAACCAGACTTGCTAGTGATTTCCTAGACAATAAAGAGATTCCAAGAGTGTCTAGGATACCATGTTTAACAGAGCTTTCTGTAAAGTCTCCAAAATAAGTTCAAGTAGAATCAAACCATTTTAAAACTACTTCATACACATTTTATAGTTTACTCTAAAATGGCATATTCTACCAAATCCAAAAGTGTTATTTTTGTAGCCAGTAACATGGTATCAAGCCTATAGGGGATGAAGGAGGGAGGGTAGGGAGAAAGGCCAATCCCACAGTGAACCAAGAAATGAGATGTTACAAAGGTGGTAGGTGTTTCTGCTGTTTCCATTACTTGAGTCACCTAGATTATAAAATAGCCTAGAGTAGGAATAGTCATTTGGCATTTTCCTCCCTCATTTTCCTTCAGTGCCTCAGAACAGAAATACTTGTTGAGTTCAATTTTAGCCTCTAAATCAGACCAAAAAAAAAAAAAAAGTAGTTATGACTCCACCCCATTTGGATTAGCCCATAAAAAAAGTATTATAGTCAACTAAAAACATTTCACATTCAAAATATTTTTAAAATGTCAGATCTAGTGAAATTTTAGCACAATTTTGTTTAAAAGTGTAAGAATAGAGGAGAATAAATTTCATCATTATCAATAACAACTAGTCCCTGGGTGCCTGTGTGGGAGGCAATGTTCAGAACGAAATGTCTAGGGTTTAAGGTCAGACACGTCCGTTCTGATTCTGCCTTCTTTAGCAATTTTAGGCAAAGACTTCTCAGAGCCACAGTGGTCCTGTTTTGAGAATGGGGGCAATGCTATCTATTTCATAGCCTTATTGAGAAAATCAATTGAGATGGATTATTACTGTATATACAGTGATGAATATAGGTAATCATTCTTTGAGTGTTTAATATGTATTAGATACTATTGTACTCCTTTTTCATTTATCAACTCATATAATCACAACCCATTGAGATGGATAGTTTTATTATCCCTATTTTGGAGATGAGGAAAATAAGGAAATAAGGCATAAAAATCTTTAACAAAAAAACCTTGCCAAGGCCAGCCAGCTAGTGATGGCCAAGCAGGAACTCAAACTCAGGCAGTCTGGCTCCAGGTCTGTGCTCTGAACCACCTCTGTGTGCTGCTCACTCTGCCACAGAAGCTCGTCACATGCTTGTCTCCCTCCCCTGGGGTTCCTGGTGTATTCAAGAACACAACAGATCCTGTCTTTTCCAGAAATAAACAGCAGTTACGCTGAGACATATGCATATGGAGATAAAAGGCAATACACGATAGAACTTGTCAAACAATTTTCAGAGGAGGAGTACAACCACAGTTCCGTAGACATTTGGAAGAAAGGAAATAATGGGGGTGGAGAAATCAGCAAGATTTTTAGAACATGGGTGAAACTTGACTTTGGCCTTGGAGAGTAAATAGAACTAAAACCAGCAAAGATGAGTTGGGAAAGTTGGGAAAGTTATCTGTCCTCACAGATAGTGGGGACAGGAAAAATAAAGCATTTCTGTGTTCAGGAAAATAAGAATTCATTTCACTGAGGAGGAAGTTTGCTACATGGGAACACTGAGACAAGAGAGCAGGAGGCAGTGCAAAGCTATTTTGTAGAATGTTTTAAAAGCCCAAGATAGGAGAGAAGACCTCCTGCTGGAGGGCCCCAGGGGTTTCTGAGTGGCTGTGACTGATGGGACAGCAGGTATATAGCATGGGTGAAAGTAGGGAAAGTTAGATAATGGATTACAAGAGCACACAGAAGCCTTTAGTACACATACCTACATTCAGACACTTCCCAATGACTCCAGCGATGATTATCTTGTTGGTGGATATTCCATGGCCTCTCCTCACCTACTGGCTATCCTTTCTGTTTGTACCCTGCTTGTTAGCACCTAGGGGGTGGACATGGAGACAAAATGATTTTCCAGTTAGTCTTTTTGTTTGTTTGTTTTTGGGGATCCTTAGTGTGTGTAGTTAAAGATTTGTTGTGGGAAGGAGAAGTATATTATGGTTGATAAGAACATTCTTTCCTTTTTCTTTTATTCATAGTACTTCCATTCCCTTTTATTAAGCAATTTGCTGATGAAGAACAGAAATCACATTTGGGCTTGACTCTGGAATACATAACTGTTAATTTCCCTTGATCAGAGATGGGATTGTAAATTGGGAGTTACCCACATGTACTTTTAAATAATGTTCTTATGACAGAACCTTGTTTCTGATCTGGCTGCTAAAGATTTTAGGTGACAGTGATTAAACTTATTCTCCTTAAAAATGCTTTGTATTGTGTATCTCCAGACTGACCTTTTGACAGTCATAACATGATTATCCATATCAATCATTCTTACCTTTGCTACCACTTAAATATATTAAGCAGTTGCTACTTCTTCCTAAGTTGAATATAGACTACCAGGAAACTTGGGTAATTCTCTAGTTATAGAGGACAAGTTTGGCTCTGAAACTAAAGCACTATATTAGAGGGATAAAAAAAAGATGGGAAAAATACAATAAACTGCAATGCCAAACTCTTTTTTAAAAGTAATATTTAATCACTATTTCAGGGTACTATTAAGACTGTACATGACATCTAAATAGATTATAGGAACCAAATACATCATTATCACTAATATATATTCAGTAATAGTAGATACAGATACAAAGATTATTGTGGTTCAAAATGGCCCAGAAATCCATCTTTTACTTGGGTCTATTGTATGTAAATACATTTGGGGAACTAAGGAAACACACATACACACACACACACACACACACACAACCTCTTTCAAGAAAAAGAAAAGGCTTTAAAAATTTATACACTTGGCTAATAGCCAGCTACTGAATCTACTGTATCTCTTCTCTCATTAACAAACTTTCACAAATTATTTCCAATTGTTCCAGTTGAGTCCTTGTCAATTCTTCACCTCACAACCCCAACCCCAATATTGTCCACATAGTTCTAGAGAAATCAGAGAATGAGTAGAAAAATGTGCATCCAGTTATTTCAGGACACAACACACATTAGGCGTGCCCACTTATTAGCCAGAAAGCTGGCTCTATTGCTTATGAGAACTTCTTGGCATACCCACAGGCCTGTTGACCTCAATATGAAACAAAACAAAACAAAATAAAGCCTCAACTATTCTGCTTCTCAATTTGTTTGATAAACTAGAATTATCTCCAAAGTTCTCACATAAACAGAAATCATTATAATTATGAATAATTAAAATGCTAAATTCAAGAGGGCACTCAACATTCATTATACTGTAGAGCTCATCCCCTAAGGGTAGTACCTGCAATTAGTTCAGTTTTTACAACAGAAGAAAAATGTGAGGATCAATAATTGCAGGTATTTAGTTCAAGGAATCAGCCAACTTGCCTTTAATTTTCTCTCTTTTAGCCAGCAGAGGTTGTGCTCTCTTTTAGATTCTTAACATGTGTACTAATTTCAAAATACAGGAATGCAACAGATAATAGAAAAACAGACTGACTTCAATGCTATGAGTACATGCACTTCAGCTGTATCAGCTATTCTGAGTAAAGTAGAAAGTAAGATATAACAACAACAAAATGCTTTTAAAAGAGAGCCCTTTTAAAGATATTTTGTAAAATTTATCAGTAATTTATTCACTTAATTAACATTTTATTGTCAGAATTTGTGCTAAATGATAGTTCCATTACTGTATAAAAACTAGCCAACGATTTAAAAAAATACAAAACTATATATTCTTACAAATATAAAGTTTAGAGTATATATATATCCACAACTTGTGAAATGAAGTTCTTTGGGATGTCACTCTCATTATTCATGAAATTGTAATAGAATTTAAAAAATTAAATCACAAAATTATTTAGATTTTCCTTTCTCGAAGTCTCTTTTTTTTTTATTTCCATCCTAGTTTGTCCTATCGAAGTCTCTTCTATAAAAACAATAATTAAAAAAATTTTTTTTTACAAAATATAACCATTTTCTTTTATAGTAATAAATGCTATTTCAGTTAGTAAGGTTTTTCTTTGGTGTTTATAGAATTAAAATACTGTAAGTTGGAAATGGGTTAGCAAATAGTAAACACAGTTTTAGATCTAAGAGACTGTAATAAAACAATTTTTTTTTTGCTCTGATTCAACATAAAATTGACAACCATGACCTGAGAAAGGGTTATCTTTTACTAGCTGCCACATCGGGGAGATAAATTTAGTCTTTCATTTAAGTAGAGGAAAGAACTCATTAGAAATGTGGTACAAGTGGTTTCAGAATGATAAATCTCAAGTTACCAATTCCACTTGTAATGATTAGTTGCCTGAACCTTGTATTTAATTAAAATGGTTATTTTAAATGCTTATTTTTAATTTAAGCATAATTAGCTAAAGTTCAGTGTTACTGCCTCATCCATTTCGAAATTAATTAATTCACAAAATAGCTCAAAAAGTGCTGTAAAATTTTAATATTAAAATATATCAGGATAAATTTGCATCTTGTGTTGGTTTCAGTTGTGGACTCCTAGTGAGCTGCTTACATTAGGTAGAACTGCAGGGTCTCTGGCATGGCTAATGTATAATAAAATCAAATATTGATATGTCCTTGACAATTCCATTCCACATAGGATATATACTTTAACCTTCCAGGAAATAATAATCCATAGCTAAGGATACGATTGTTTAAACTTTAAGGAAGTGTAAGTTTTAGAAGTTAATTTTGGCCTTTACATTTAGGAGGCACCACTGGTTGTAATGATCAGTGTAATAAATTTTTTTGTGAGTCATTCGAATAAATGTAACCAGAAAGTGTTTTCAAGTAAGAGTTCTGATTTTAAATTGTACTGAAACAAACAGCATGATCTCTTTATATAGAAAACAAGAGACAGTATATAGTGATGCAGAAGTATTTCTTGGTCTACAGGATCTGAGTATATTCTAAAATGCTCTAGGAGTCATGTGGAAGGGGTTTCCTGGTGTAGTGAGAAACTACACCCATGAATGTCCTTATTGTACTTGGTAGGCAAAACTGCCGAGCTGTGCACATTTGTCTATTAATGATGATTGCAACCATTCATTAGGTACTGAATTAGATACAGAACTAAATACTTAATGAAGTGATATTAGGCCCATTTTACAGATGAAAGAAGTGAGGCCTGGAGAGTCTAAGGCATACATAATTTGTGTGCATAATTAGAAAGCGACGGAAGCAGGATGCAAAGCTTTAATCCATAGCTCTGCACCTCATTGACCCCAGCTCCAGCTGAGAGGGCTAGAGAAGGCACTGTCCATTCTGAAATGCTTGCAATCTCCATCACCTCCTCCTCCGCCACCACCACCACTACAATAACAACAACATAGTGAGTTTGGCTTGAGTATTAATAACTAAAATCTGTTGTTCCAATCTTAGTATCCTCTCATACCAATATATGTGGAATTTTCTAGTTTTTTATTAAAACCTGGGTTTTCTACTTTCCAATGAACCTTTATAGTTGGGGAGACTTTTTCCCCACCATTCTCTAACATTAGCTCAAACCTTTGCACAACCTCCACCCCCAATACCACCAATAACCCTTCTAAGAGACGGCAGCATTTTAATTGTAAGCAGGTTATACAATCAGACTCAGCTTACACCTCAAGTAAAGTTGTGCAGAATATTTCTCTTCTTTTCACACTAGGCCTGTTATGTGGCATTCCAGGATGCCTTTAAGCCTTGCTGTATCTTAATTACTTCAACTGCCATTTGTTTCTGTCTCTTCCAGTCATTCTCCTTGGTTTCTAAACAATGAACAATAGACCCATTCAAGAGCTAGTCTTAGGTGCACTCTCTCCAAAGAATGTGGGCAACAGATACAAATATCCCTCCTATTTAGGTAAGACGACATTAGATTGTGATCAAGGCCATTATTTATTGATTTTCACTTTAACATTTCAACTATCAGCCAATATCTTAACTCTGGACATCTTTAGAAGGTCCCAGGATTGGAAAGAACCATTACAAAGCCATCAGGACAGAGGGGGACAATTTGACGAATAGGAAGAGATAGATTCACAGGCACATCTGCTTTGTTAATCTTGCTAAGGCCTTTAAATACCGTCTGGTTTCCTGTTCTTTTCTGGCTACCCTCTTCTCTTAGGCTAAAAGATTTTAAAATGACTTGGGGAAAAAAAAAAAAAACAACTTTGAGAAACTAGTTTGAGATTTTAATTCTATATTTCATCTGCCAGACAGTGAAATGCAGTTAGCTGCAGCGAGTGTTCCTAATAGATAAGGGAATTGTTGCTTCACATATAATTACATCGAGCCTAACTGTAGACATAGCCAACCATATCATCATCATACTATTAGAAGTGCTAGTAAGTCTGAAAAGAATCCATTTTGAGGAGGGTCAAAGCTACTTTTATTTTGCTTCAAGCTAGGGTTATCATGGAATAAAACTGATAATTCTTTTGGAGGAATAATTTTGGGAATATAAAAAAAAAGTACTAAAGGGTAACTGAAACTAACTGTTGTGACTGGCAGTAAGTTCAGGCATTTTGTGTTCTTTTGTATTTGCTTTGGAATGTTAAACAGGTAGGGTTCTTTTTAAAAGAAAACATTTTATTCAGAACATTCTCCCATGAAAGCCTACTTTGACAAAGTGTCACTTTTTGATATATTAGTACATGTCTGCCCACATTTTATATTCAAAAAAGGCAAGCAATGTTTTAACAACTTTTGACAAGCATGGGGAATTAAACTTCCACGGGATTGTCTCTTTTAATGTAATGCTATAGTCTATTTTATAGTTTTGATTTTGCACTTCTTTATGGTAGCCCACAACATTTTTAATTATGTCAACTTATGGTTGAAAAAGTACAGAGAAACTAAAGATGAACAATTAGGATAGGAAAACGCAACTCAAAATATTTTTAAGAA